TAAGGAAAAAGCAACTCTTCCAAAATCCCATTCATTCCATTTCCATGGAATGGTGTGGAAGTGGAAGGAGTCAGTGCTCGGAGAACGGAGCAGCTCCTCTCTGGTTGTTTATGGAACCACAAAGGTTGGATGGAGGTTGTCCCATCCAACTGGGATGGGATTCACTGACCATCCCACCCCAGTAGCTGTTCCCAACTCCATCCTGACATTCCACATTCCAGGAACCTCCTCCTCCCCGACGGGGTCCCCCCGGAGCGACAGTGGGCTCGGTTCTACATCAAGATCTACCGCGCCGAGGGGCTGCCGCGCATGAACACCAGCATCATGGCCAACGTCAAGAAGGCCCTCATTGGGGAGAACAAGGACCTGGTGGACCCCTACGTGCAGGTGGCCTTCGCAGGGCAGAAGGTGAGCGGGGAGGTGCCAGGGTGACCACAGGAGGTGACGCCAGTAGGTGACCATAGATGGTCTCTGTAGTCCTTGCAGGTCAGGATGGGCGTGGTGGCACTTGGAGCATTGAGATGGGCATGGTGTCACCTGGTACATGAAGATGGGTGTGGTGTCATCTGGCATGTCAAGATGGGCGTGGTGTCACCTGGTCAAGATAGGTCTGGTGTCACCTGGCACATCAAAATGAGCATGGTGTCACCTGATACATTGAGATGGGTGTGGTGTCACCTGGTGCGTTGAGATGGGCATGGAGTCACCTGGCACATCAAGAGGGACGTGGTGTCACCTTGGTTGAGATGGGTGTTGTGTCACTTCACACATGAAGATGGACGTGGTGTCACTTGGTGTGTCAAGATGGGCGTGATGTCACCTGGCACATAGAGCAGGGCGTGATGTCACCTGGTGCATTGAGATGGGCGTGGTGTCACCTGGTCCAATAAGAGATGGGCATGGTGTCACCTGGTACATTGAGATGGGCGTGGTGTCACCTGGCATGTTGAGAGGGGCGTGGTGTCACCTGGCACGTCAAGAAGGGTGTGGTGTCACCTGGCATATCCAGATGGCCATGGTGTCACTTGGCATGTTGAGAGGGGTATGGTGTCACCTGGCACATTGAGATGGGCGTGGTGTCACCTGGCACATTGAGATGGGCGTGGTGTCACCTTGTTTTTGCTCTCTGGGATGGGTTTGAGCCCTCTCCATTTGAGGAGGAGAATTCCTCACTCAGGAGAGGGCAGAGTGGTGGAAGGGAGCAGCTCAGGTGGTTTGGGAGGGATGGTTTGGGAGATCCAATTTGTTGGGAAGGATGAAAGTTTGATGGGAAAGTCTCACAGATACTTGTGCTTGGCAGAAAGATCTCTGAATGTAGAACCTGAGAATGAAATAGAGATGGAAACTAGTTTTGATATAAAAGAATAACAGATATGTAAATTGAGGTTTGCTGAGCCAGTCTTGCTTGACACCTAAGAAAGCAAAGGTTAAGTCGAGTTGGAAAGAGATTTTATAACTTAGAGCAAAGGATAAGCTGACCGCAAACAAAAAGATGTTTTTACAGAGCAGAAAGATTCCAGAGACAAGCAACATGCTGATGTGGCAAGTATAAAAAAGATCTAAGAATTTTCCACTGCAAGAAAAACCACTTTAAGCTTAAACTGTAACATTCTAACTCATGTGGCTGGATAGTATTGACTGTAGTATGGTAATGAGATTAGTTGTGATAGGTTATAGGTAATAGTAAAGGTATTGATTGGTTGATTATGTATTAAGATGCTCAGCAAAGAAAAATATATAATGCCATGTAACCAGAACTAAAGGGTTTTCAAGCTTGTCTGCAGCTGANGTCTTCGATTTCCACGTCCCCCCTGATGTCATGTTCGACAAGATCATCAAGCTCTCTGTAAGTGACCCCGATATCCTTGCCATTGTCCTTTTTGGGGGGCTTTGGAAGCAAGCAATACATTTTTGGGATGTGTTTAAGGTCCTTGATGTGAGATTCCCAACAGGAATTGTCTTCAGCAGATGCCCAGTCTATTTTTCTGTTCCAACCCTCATTCCTGGCTCCACACAGCTCCTGCGTTCCCTGTGTCCCTTCATGGGTGGTTCTCTGGTATTCCAGAGATCCAAACCTTGGAATTTATTTATTAGAACCAAACCTTGGAATTTATTTATTTATTCTTGTGGAGAAGAAAGACCTTCCAGAGCCAGGGAAATTGCTGGGGTATCAGAGCTGTTGTGGAAATCCAGGATTGGGAATGCTGAGAGGAAAGCTGAGATTTCAGTCCACTCAAAACCAGGAAAGTGATGGATAAGACTTCCAGATTCCCTGCCCAATTAGGGCACATTAATTGGGATCATCCATATCCATCCCAGTGTACAGACTGGGTGCACAATTTCTCCCATTTTTCCTCAAATTCTGAGCATTTTAAAGGCTCTTACCCCAGTTAAATATCCCAGTGTTTCCTGTTGTGGCTGGAAAAGGGCTCTTCCTCCAAAGATTAATTTCTTTGCAATTTTTTTTCATTCCAAATACAAACTTCCTGGCAACTCCACCAATCAGGACCTGCCAACCCCACCGGGCCCTCAAATCCTCCCCAGACCAAGGAAAACTCCTCAGCTCCTTTCCCATCCCACCCTGGAGACCTCTGGAATGGCTTTGTTGTTCCCAGGTCCTGGGGGAATTCCTGAGTGGTTTTCCCCTTTTGATTTCCAGGTGATCCACTCCAAAAACCTCCTGAGGAGTGGGACGTTGGTTGGGTCCTTCAAGATGGATGTTGGGACCGTTTACACCCAGCCTGGTACGTGAATGTCGTTTGTAACAATTCCCAGGCACCTGCAGCTGCTCAGTGGAGTAAAATTCCCAGCAAAGGAGTCAGGCAGGGGCTGGATTCCTTGGAAAATGCTTTCCAAGTGTTAAATGATTGGAAATTGATTGAAAATTATTAGGTGTAAATATCCAAGATGTAAAAAGTCACCTGGAGTCACTTGTAGGTCAGGGAAGAGCACTTGACACCTCTGGAGAAGGGTCTATATCCCATCCC